TTTTGGTCTGCATTTATTCTTTGCCCATGTGGTTTCCAGTGAAAAAAAAAACAAATCTCAAGTTTTCTTAATGTTTGTCATATTCAACTCTATCGTATTTTCTTCATTTCTGCGTTCACATGAACTTAATTACCACAATTAAGGTTATCGCACTTTTCTTTAGAACATAAAGATTATGACATTTTACTACAACGGAAAGGTTAGCGTACTTTATCACAACTTATAAGTTAGTGCATCCTATTAAAATACGACGGTCAGTGCACTCTAGTACCATATTATCTGCAGCCGTCCGTGATTCACTTCCGAGCATCAGAATGTATTTTATAGGTTATTATAGCTCTCTTTCTTACCTCAGCTGACAAAGAAATATTGCGTTGCAAATTCTCCATCATTTAAAAGGCTCTTTTTACTTGAGCTATTTGATCTCGTTTTATTTTTTTTTTTTTTTTTTTTTTTTATTTATAACAGATCTTGCATACAGTCACCTTCAAATATTTGTGTTATTGTGCTTCTACTTAATACATTCATATTATGTATATTGCTTCATGACCATAACATGTTTTACAAATCAAATAGATTGATGTATAAGAGTTGAGTGTTTGGAAAGGCAGAATGCAATGAGGACGTGCAGGATCTTTGTTTTTAATTTGGCAAGGTTTTGCTTCTGACAATGGTCATTGCATTTTCCTCCATGTCTAGACCGAAAATGGATGAAATAGAAAAAGAAATAGAAATAGAAAAAGCCATTAAGCAGTCTCCCAAATATAAAGCCCCAGGAGCTGATAGATTACCAAAAGAAATAATTCAAACAGCAGGTGAAAGCAGCATCAGATGGCTTCATAGAATATTAAATGCAGCATGGGTACAACAAACTGCCCCTATTGATTGGCAGCATGCAATAGTTATACCATTGTGGAAGAACAAAGGAAGCAAACGAGAATGCGGTCAATACCGAGGCATCTCTCTTTTAAGCCATGTTGGCAAAATGTATGCCAACATAATAGAAACAAGACTGAGACCAGTGATAGAACCACAGCTGGCAGAAGAACAGATGGGATTTAGGAGAAATAGAAGCTGCACAGATGCAATCTTCACACTTAAACAGTTAATAGAAAAGAACATTGAATACAATAAGAACATATTTGTGTCATTCGTAGACCAGGAGAAGGCATTTGACAGAGTCGACAGACAATTATTATGGAAAGTAATGGCAAGATATGGAGTAAGCGAACACCTCATCGAAGTGGGCAAGTTTATACAGGGATTGTAGAAGTGTAGTTAAAATAAATCAGGGAACATCTCATCCATTTACAGTAACATCTGGAGTAATTCAGGGGTGTGTATTATCACCACTGCTGTTTATCACCTACATCGACAGTACATGCAAGAATGCCAAGCCTATGAATGAAAATGTTAGTAAGATCAAATACTCTTTGCAAATGACCAGGCCTTGATAGCAGATACAGCCATGAAATTGCAACAACATCTAACATCCATGAATGAATAATGTAAAACAAATAATATGAGAATCAACCCTGAAAAGACAGAAGTAATGTCAATAGGAAAAAAGAAGACAGATCTAAACATAGCAATAGAGTGCGAAGGCATTAAACAGGCATCTGAGTTTAAATATCTGGGAACTACATTTACCGAAGATGGGAAATTGGATAAAGAAATTAACATTAGATGCAGTAAAGCAAACCAAGTATTGGGACAGCTAGCCACCTCTTACAGCATAAGACAATCCCAGTCAGCACAAAGAAACATCTTATTCAAAGCATATGCATTCCAACTCTGTGCTACCAGTGCCAGACATGGTCACTCACAACAAACCATAAAAGAAAATTAGTAACCATGGAAATGAGATGTCTGAGAAGGGCTGTAGGAGTGACCATAAGAGATAAGATCAGGAATGAGATCAAAAGAGAAAAAGTCAACATAGAACCAGTTCTAAATTACATACAAAGACAGCAAGTGAAATGGTTTGCCCACTTAGAGAGAATGCCTTGTGACACCATACTATACAAAGCCTACATGGAAAGAGAAGAAGGACGAAGAGCACGAGGTAGACCAAGAACAAGATGGAAGGATAACATTAGAGAAATTCTACAACAGCACGATGTGCCTATGGTCGAGGCGGCCAGAAGAGCTAGAAACAGAACCTTATATCTCCCTCGACACCCACAGCGGTAAAAGAGGAAGTGAAGAAAAAGAGAAGAAGTAGACCGAAAGGATATAGTTTCGTCGCCTAAATACCAAGCTAAAGGCACGATGCAATACTGAAAGCTTCCAAACTGGTGGTGCCATATGTGATTAATTGTGTGTGAAGCTACTATGTGTTGTTTATACGACGGGCCAACATCATAGAACAAGGGGTAACCCATAACTGCTTTGTTCTACTTATGACTCAAGTCTGAGTCCCAAGAATCTCAGCGCTTTCTTGTAACTGCGTCGATGATGAACTGACGTTCTGGTGCAGGATAGTTTGTGCTGTCACTTTTGACGGCTGTCCTTTGCATGAAACGCATGTGTATACTGTCTACCTTTTCAAAACTACAGACTAGGTCAGTAAGTTCTGAACAGATAGTGATAAGCATTCTGTGTGATTTTCGTTGGTAGACGATGAAGTGACCCGTGCTCTCTGATGCTGGAACTGTATTTACCTGATTACTTGTCGTGTATTGCTGTACAAAAATGATTTCAGGCAGCATTTTTATGGTGGCTAGATTATGCTGTCGTATATTTCAAGTTATTTTTTGATAACAGAATATCTTCACCAACTGGATATTAAATTGGACATCACCGACGTCTAGATGCGAAAACTTATTGTGATGTTTAGGATTCAACCGGAGAACTGGCTTCAACAGAGTACTAATTAAACTGGGATGGAATTGAGAAACATTGGAAAGCACTTCGTAGAAAGTTGTCGACTCAGTCCTTGCAAAGAAAACCATCACTACTCATTCATCTCTGTCTCTGTCTGTCTCTCCTCTCTCTCTCTCTCTCTCTCTCTCTCTCTCTCTCTCTCTCTCTCTCTCTCTCTCTCTCTCTCTCTCTTTATTTCTGTTCCCTCTCCCTTTGTAAATGTAAGTGGTGGTCAATTCTTCTATGTTTGCATTGAAAAGACAGAGATAATTGTAATAGGTAGACAAGAAGAAAGGATTTTAATTAAAGTTTAAAAAAAAACAGAGAAATAAAACAAACTAGCGAATTTAAATATCTGGGGTCATTTTTCACATCAGATAGCATAGAATGCATAGAGAAATTAACATATGATGTGCGAAAGCATATAAACGATCCCTACATCCCCCCCTATCCACTGCAACACCTCGCTGAGGTAAATGGTGGAGGAGGAGGAGGAGAAGAAGAAAAAGAAGAAGAAGAAGAAGAAGAAGAAGATGAAGAAGAAGAAGAAGAAGAAGAAGAAAGAAGAAGAAGAAGAAGAAAACAGAAGAAGAAGAAGAAGAAGAAGAAGAAGAAAGAAGAATAAGAAGAAGAAGAAGAAGAAGAAGAAGAAGAAGAAGAAGAAGAAGAAGAAGAAGAAGAAGAAGAAGAAGAAGAAGAAGAAGAAGAAGAAGAAAGAAGAAGAAGAAGAAGAAGAAGAAGAAGAAGAAGAAGAAGAAGAAGAAGAAGAAGAAGAAGAAGAAGAAGAAGAAGAAGAAGAAGAAGAAGAAGAAGAAGAAAAGAAGAAGAAGAAAAAAGAAGAAGAAGAAGAAGAAGAAGAAGAAGAAGAAGAAGAAGAAGAAGAAGAAGAAGAAGAAGAAGAAGAAGAAGAAGAAGAAGAAGAAGAAGAAGAAGAAGAAGAAGAAGAAGAAGAATAAGAAGAAGAAGAAGAAGAAGAAGAAGGGGAAGAAGAAGGAGAAGAAGAAGAAGAAGAATTTAATACCTCAGTGCATTTGCCTAAGCACACATGATACCACTGAAGGTAACAACACAGTTTACATTGCACAAGCATGTATGCATATTTGAGTACACACTGCAGGTTCATTTTGTCCACATTATATAATTTTGAATTCATTACATTTGTTTATATTGCTAAAAAACATTCAATAACTTAAGTTCATTTTGTCTAAAAGTATCGGTCATCATCGAATAAAATACTTCAGTTAATATCGCAGAAAAATTAATTTTAAATGTACAAATTTGGCTAATTTTGCCCAATGTATTAGGTAACTCTAAATGTGACACTTTCGTTAATATTGCCCAGACATATTCAGTAACTTTAAATTTTACACTTCAGTTTGCAATTCCTTATTTGAAAAAAAAATTTTTTATCGATTTCTTTGAATGCTAAGAATTAAGTTGATATTAAATAACATTTCCAGTAATTTTGAATTCCTCGCCTCAAGTTCATGTTGCACAAACGTATTCAATAACTCTGAATGCAATACTTTAGTTCATATAGCCAAACATGCTCGATAACTTTGAATGCTATCGCTCAGTTTGTTTAGAACTACTTGTATATATTCCCTAGCTGTAAATGCAGCAATGCGTAAAAGTAAAAGCTAAATGTCTTGTGAAACATTTAGCGTTCTTGTTGTATTCAAATTAAGCGTACTGTCCATACAGAATGTTACAAAAACTTTCCCACAAATCTTTGTGTTCTTTTCACAGCACGCAGTTAATAGTACATCCTGGTCTTTAACAGATGGATCAAACTGGCTTTATTTAGATCTGTTTCGGGAACTGCTGGATGCTTGATTTCATATTGCGCTTCATAATCACTGAAAGGCTGTGATCTCCGTAGTTTTAGTTGAAATATTTTTTGGGTCAACGAATCGAAAGGACGTTTTGCAAACCCTGACAAACCATGACTTCCAGATATTGAATCAAAAGGGCGTTTCGCAAACCCTGACAAGCCATGACTTCCAGATATGGAATCAAAATGACGTTTTGCATACCCTGATAATCCATGACTTCCAGATATGGAATCGAAGGGACGTTTTGCAAAACCTGATAATCCATGACTTCCAGATATTGAATCAAAAGGGTCGTTTAGCAAAACCTGATAATCCATGACTTCCAGATATGGAATCGAAGGGACGTTTCGCAAAACCTGATAATCTGTGACTTCCAGATATTGAATCAAAAGGACGTTTCGCAAAACCTGATAATCCATGACTTCCAGATATGGAATCGAAGGGACGTTTGTCAAATACTTCTAAGTCGCTGTCTTGCTCTTCAGAATTTATTGGACGTTTAGCAAATCCTGATAAACCATGGCTTCCTGATATTGAATCAAATGGGCGTTTTTCAGACACTGTTTGATCGGCAACTACTGCAGTAGAATCGACTGGACGTTTTGTAAGCCCTGACAAGGCATGGCTTTCTGCTGCAGAATCAAAAGGACGTTTGTCAAACACTGATAACCCGTGACTTCCTGGTGGTGAATCCAATGGACGTTTTTCATACCCTATTGAATCAAGACCTTTTAATACTGACAGTCTCTGTTTTTCTTGAAAATCCATGACATCATAAGATTCAGAGTTTGTTTTTGAGAATTCTTTGTCCTGGTTTCTTTCTGCGATATTCTGAGATTGTTTCATGACAAATCCAGACGGATTAATGATCTCAGGGTCTTCACTTGTTTTGCGTTTGTACATTTTGGCGCTGGGGAAAATGACTGCGGCAATATTACTTGTGCTGTAATCTATGTTAGGACTTCCGGATGATCTGTCTTTGTCATAGCTGAAGATGGTTTTCTGTTGAAGAGACAAGGAAATTTCATAAATCGACTTTTTCAGAAAGAATAGATGTCAGTTTAAAACTTTCTGTACTTGCGTATATTGAAGTGACAAGTGATTCAAGTGACTGAATAATACAGTAATTGTTTAGATTTATTTACAGTATAATTAGGATATGAGTTACAGTGTTATTAGGATAGGATGCGTTAAAGTAGTTTCAGTATGCTTAGGATCATCATAATCATTATCATTATCAAGTGTCTTGCCAGCTGGCGTAAGCGTGCATACATCTCCACATATCTCAATCTTTGATGCTCTGAATCAATTCCACTGAAGATACTCCTCCATGCCACTGTCTTACGCCATTTACCATCATTTCTTTTCGTCTGCCTCTGCTTCTTCTGCCAGTGATCTTTACAGTTGTCATAATATATTCCAGTGCTTCTTTTTTCATCACATGACCCAAAAATGTCGTCTTTTTTTCTTTGTTGTATATAATGTTCTACTTTCTTTAGTCATTTCCAGACAATCGTTGTGTGTACTTAGTTTTGAATGTGTTAAAGTAGGTAAAGTATGCTTAAGTTGTAATGTGTTAAAGTAGCTACAGTATAATTAGGAGAGGATGTTTTGAAATAGTTACAGTAAATTTAGGAAAGGACGTGTTAAAGTAACACACAAATTGCACGGGTGGCATTAGGAAAACACGAGATATCTCTCTGTATGTATTTCTGTATCTTGTTCTGTCGCTGTTGGTGATCTGCTGCTTGTGTGCCCATGGTATCCCGTGTTAATGTACACTACTTCATTATTAACAATTTACATCCATGTTTAAACTATTTTCCCATCTCATCAGGTGTCATACAGGGATGTATCCTCTCACCATTCTTATTCATTACTTTCATGGATAGAATAACACAGGAGGCAAATGCTGACACTGAAAAAATTAATGAACTTCTTTTTTGTAGAAGATCAATGTCTAATACACCATCGAAAACATAATTTACAACACCGTGTTGACTCGTTACATCAGACCTGCACAAAGTGTGACATGAGAAGAAACCACCCGGAAAACCGAGGTAGTGAGGATAGGCAGGAAACAAAATATCACGAACGTTCATATTAACAGTACTACAACCAAACAAAAAGAATTCAAATATCTAGGAAGCACATTTACGAGGATGACTGACTCGATAGAGAGATAAAAGCCAGAGTACAAAAGGCAAAAGCTGTCACCCATCAGTTAGCCCCGCTGCTTATACATTTAAAATAGTTACAATATAATTAGGATAGGACGTGTTAAAGTATTTACAGTTGCATTAGGATAGGACGTGTTAAAGTATTTACAGTAGCATTAGGATAGGACGTGTTAAAGTATTTACAGTAGCATTAGGATAGGACGTGTTAAAGTATTTACAGTAGCATTAGGATAGGACGTGTTAAAGTATTTACAGTAGCATTAGGATAGGACGTGTTAAAGTAACATAACATTTGCACGAATGATACAGGTAGTCTACGTTCCGAATAGGTAGAAGGCATACGAAAGTCGCAGTTAACCTACATTATCTGGATTTACACACCTGGGCACGCAGAAGTACATGATAATAAAAGAGCTGTCCAGATGGCAAGTAATGCACCAATGCAAACTGGAAGAAGCATGGACAAAGCTGATATTGTCACCTCTGTGCGGACTAGATTGTTGGATAACGGCGAATTTCTTACGCTATCACGCCTGCACGACCAAGGAGTTGAGCTTGATGAAGCACGTCTACGTCGTCTTCGATGTAAAGACAGAAGATACTATAACTAACTCCTGATAAGAACAATCAGTAGAGGTACCTTAGAGTGACCACTGCATCGGAGGACTGAGCCCGCATGGGGATGCCCAATGTGCAAAACGTCTATTTTGATAACATAACATAACTGCTTAGACACCCAAATGTCTCCCCTCCAGTAAAACAGATAATGGTTAAAAGCATCTTTATCCATACTTTATGTTATCTTTGCCAAACATAGACAATGAAAAGGTAACTAGAACAGAAAATAACAACATATGAATGTGTTGTCTCGCAAGGTCACTAACAACACTAGATGAGACAGGGTTACGAATACCAGCATTAGAGAGAAAGTTGGAATAATGCCATGTCAGCATTATATTGACAGGCAAAGAATGAAATGGTTCGGCCATCTAGTAAGAATGCAGATATACCAGACTGCATATGAAACTTTTTTACATTTGAACATCTGGGAGTAAGGCGAGAGGAAGACCAAGAAATATATGGATAAATGATGTAGCTGAAACCTGCAAAAAAAAGATGAACAAATCCATCACCTAAACCACCCAAGAAGCGAAGAAAAATACAGAAAACCACGACGCTGGGTTACAACCTGATATCGGTGAGACGACAGAAGAAGAAGAAGGAAGAAGACAACCATGTTGAAACTTTTCAAAACATTAAACAAGACGTTAGGCAGGGATGTGTAGTATAACAATATCTAGACAGTCTGTAGCCATAACAAAATAATTGTTTCCATAGACAGTATGCCAGGAATATTGGTTGGAAGGCATATTGTAAACCGTTTTGGTCGTTGAAGATGGAAAACAACTGAAAGAAATTATGTGCATAATGGTTTAACAAAAAGTCAAAACAAGGGTCATAGTTTGAAGATCAGAAAAACCAGGTAAGGATAAATACTTATCAGAATAAGAATAAAAACGATTATTTTATTATTATTATTATTGCGCATCAAACAAAGCTTTAACTCCCGCTCCTATAACATTTTCGGGGAGGGACTCAGGTGGCTTAGTTCTTTTTTCAGTCTTGCAATAAAATTATTCTTACTGGTATTGTGTGCTGAATGACAAATTTAAAAAAAATACATTTGAAATGTGGGCTATCTTCCGAATACCGGTCCCAAATTATCGAGGCCAAAAATACACCCTAATAGGGCCTCAGTCACATGTGAATTGCGCACTTTCGGCGACTACCGCCACCGCCGAGAGTATCTCCCACGCGCGTAGTGGCGTGGATTGGGGCCAAACTAGATGGCTAGGACTCACGAGTAGCAGCTACCGCATCTCCTGCAGCTTCCTTTATTTTATTTGCTCGTGAGTCTCAGCTGGCGATGGCGGTAGTATGCAATTTACATGTGACTGAGGCCCTGTTATGGTATATTTTCGGCCTCGATAATTTGGGACCGTTATTCGGAAGATAGCCGAAATGTGAAATATATAAACAAATGCTTAAAAATCCAACGTCTGTATGTGTGGTAGGGGTTGAGGGGAAGGGGCCTGCTCCAAGAAAAACAAATTGTCAGGGTTGCCAGATAAAAAACTTCATTTTATGCCAAACCATCACCCAAAATATGCCAGCATATTGCCAAATAAAGTGTAACGTACTCACTTCACATCAAAAGCTCTAAATTGAATTCTTTACTGTCATCCTCATTGGAACCAGTGGAAGATGCAGCATAAACCTTTTCGGTTGTAAAATCTTTAAGCATTTTCTCAGATGGAATGAAGTCTTTGCAACATTTCGTTGATATCAATAGTTCTGCTCTAATTCTGACAACTGCATCAAGAAAATCCATTTTTTTTTTTTTTCCTTGCTTTTGATTTAGTTAAAGTAATAAGAGAGAGAATATTCTCTCAACTACAGCATTGCTAACGGGCATTATTAAGCAAGTAAGGGCGAAAGTGGCCAATTCTTTAAATGCCTGGTGTCAAAGTACGCCTATCCAAAAATCTTCACTGTTTGTAGGTAGTCCATCCTTCTTAAATGTAGCTTCTTCTTTCGAGTTGACAACAATCAGTTTTCTGTACTGTTCTCCAAAATACTGATGTTGTTTTCTGCCAGGTGTAAAAATGGTAGCTCTGAAAACTGTGTCCTTGATATTTGATTTAAAACTGCCAAAGGGCTCAATCGATAACAGATTTTGAAACATATTCTCGGTGGGAAGTCTACACGTAATTTGATTGAGAGCTTCCTCTAGCACAGACATGCATCTTTCACTAACATTGTTTATTTCTATCTGAACTTCAGTCCCGTTATTCTTCTGTAGGAACGCATTACATTCCATTAGGAATTGAATACCAAAGTCAACGTGATGAGTATTTTTTTTCTGCTCATTGACGTCATTCAGTTTGTTTTAAGACTTTTCTGGTGCATGGACAGTTCTTGGTGTAGTTATGAGGACCAGCTTTCGTTTGTAGAAAAAGACTGTTCAGTCTTTATATTTTGTGTTAAACGTTGTCTGTACTAATTCAGCACATGTGAAAAAAGCTTTCAATTCCTCCCAGTTCACCAACATTTTGAACTTAATCTTTCCACGCACAAGCCATCTAGTAGATGACAGTTTCTCAAATGGAAGAGTTCGTTCTGATTCAAACTCCGTAGATGTGTTCATCCCTCTAAACATTTCTTTATAGGCTTCTCATCTTAAATCACTATGACGAAACCACTGAGGTATTTCTGACAGTAAGAAACCAATATTTGATGGCAGCTTGGCAATTGCACTACAAATGCAGAGTGCTAGTGAATGGCAGATACATCTGAGCTGTACATAAAAAGGAGACACAACTTTAGTTCTGGACCATCCAGAGTTCTTGCACCAGACCGTGTTTGAAGCGCCACCTGACGCAAACCCAATGCAATTTGTAAGACTCTGACCACACCTTTTGATTTCCTTATCAATCAAATTAAATAAGTTTTCTCCTGTAGCCACGTGCAAGGAAATTAAAGCAAAAAATCCGGTAAATATTTCATTTTTTATGTCACTGAAAAAAACTAACGATAATGTACAAGTACTTTTGAGTGGAAACGTCAGTAGACTCAT